CATGCTGAGGCCAGCAAGCTCCAAGTCATCTTTGGAGGCTGTAAGGGGAAGCAGGAATGTCAAGACCACCTCAGACCCAGGGCAGGATAGGCCAGAGCAGTACTGCCAGTGCTCCTGGAGCAGACAGGCTCTGCCAAACCCACCCTGGGTACCCACCGCCAGCCCCTGCCTGGCACCTGGCCAAGGGGAACCCCAGTGCTTTGGAAAAGAGGGTCCCAGTCCCGGGATGCCTGGACAGCTCTACCTCCCCCTGCCACCGCTCCCAGCCCCACGCTGGCCACCCTGACAGCCCCTTTGCCAGGTTGCGGGAGGGGCACTTTGCTCTCACCTGGCTCCCTCCCTTGGGGGGCCTCCTCCTTCCTTTCTGACGTGGGATGTGTCAGTGGTGAGTCCCTGTCTCACCGTCTGAGCGGTGAGTGGGACTCCCAGCACTGGGTGCTCTATCACGCCTCCCATCACGGCGACTTCTGGATCCGCTGGATGAATTTGAGGTCCGACGCTGCTGGCGGGAGCGCTGTTGCCTTTGGGAAGTCGTGGTTGCTGTCTCCCTTGAGTTTCGCCTCCCAGCACTCCGTGCTGGAGTGCAGTTCCTGTCATTGCGATTTCTGGACTGGCCAGATGGATTTGAGGTCCGACTTTGGCGGCGGGAGCTATTTCGTCTGCGGGATGTCCCTGATTCTTCCTGGCTGGGCCTGCGCCTCCCAGTACTTGGTGCTGGGACGTGGCTCCTGTCACGGCAACTTCTGGACCGAAGTTGTGGATTTTGCGGCCGACGTTGCTGGCGGGAGCGGTTTCGGCTGTGGGATGTCTCTGATGCTTCCTGGGTGGAGGTGCAGCTCTCAGCCCTTGCTGTTCTCACATGGCTCCTGGTACGTCGACTTCTGGACCGAAGGTGTGGATTTTGGGGCCGACGTTGCTGGCGGGAGCGGTTTCGGTTGCTGGATGTCTCTGATGCCTCCTCGCTGCGGCTGCGCCTCCGAGGACTTGGTGGTGGTGGCAAACAGATCCTGTCATGGGGACTCGGGGACCGGAGGTGTGGCGAACATCTCCTGTCATAGGGACTCGGGTCCCGAAGGTGTGGATTCTGGGGACGACTTTGCCGGCGAGAGCGTCTTCGCCTGCGGGATGTCCCCGACTGTCTGTGCCTGGGCCTGCACCTCGCAGCAGTTGGTTCCGGCACATGGCTGCTGTCACGGGGACTTCTGGACCGAAGTTGTGGAGTTTGAGGCCGACTTTGCCGGCGGGTGCGGTTTTGCCGGCGCTCAGGCCTCCGACTGCGAGAGCAGTTGCTGTCCTCAGTTTCTGGGATGTTGCTGTGGGATGGCCTTGATGTTACCTGACTATAGAGGCTGGGGCTGCTCATCTCCTCTGAGGGAGATTCCAGAGACTGCTCTGATGCTGCCTGTTGGCTGGTGCTGGGGGTGATGGTCTCG